AATGTTCTATAAACAAGAAATGGTGTTTTATTACAATGTCTTCATCACACATCGATGGTGAGAGTAAACAAGAGAATGTTTCCTCATCTATAAATATGAAAGGTTGTGAAATGTTTCAAAGGGACCAAACCATGAGAACTTCCTCATGCCTACCTTTGTAGGATTTTGAAGGTATTATTTGGTGAGATTGTCTATATTGGCAAGTGTCCAGTTAACTTTTAGAATTCCAAAAATGGTTTTGAACTGAATTTTTTCAGGTTTAAATCGTGTTTCAGTTAGAAAAAAAAATTATGTAATTGGGTATATTGACTTGAACCGAAGCTGGATCAATTTGGACCGATAAGGAATCATTTTCCTTCACAACAAACATTTGAAACTCCCATGTTTTTTTAAATTATTTCTAATAATATTATATATAAGTTACATAATTTTATATAAATATAAAAAAGCATCGACCTAAACCTAAAATTATAATTGTTTGAAAAATCACTTTTATTCAATAGCACGAAATATATACAAACCAGGTTTCACTAGAAAAAAAATATGTAGTTTGGTATATTTAGTTGAATCGGTGCGAGTTTGATCTATTTGGACCATAAAAGAAGCATTTTCCTTTCATTACATACATTTGAAACTCCCATGATTTTTCAAATTGTTTCCAATGATATTTTAAAAAAGTTACATAATGTTATATAAATATAAAAAAACATCTACCTAAACATAAAATTATAATTGTTTGAAAATTCGATTTGATCAAAAGCACGAAATATATACTCGGATTATATTTTATAAATGAATTCTTTTTATAATGAACTTTTGAATCATGAAAATACATATAAACAAACTTTCTATATTAAGTACCTAACTGACTTTATGATTTTAGAATTAAACAAAAAGTTATTCAATAAAAACTTACTTTTTTGGATAGCCACTTACAAGATTATAGAAAAATGGAACTATTGAACAATAAAGAAAGGGTAAACAAGAGAAAGGGTGTTTTACTAAATAAGTTGAATAATGTTTTATAAACAAGAAAGTGTGTTTTATTACAATGTCTTCATCCCACATCGATGGTGAGAGTAAACAAGAGAACGTTTCCTCTTCTATAAATAGGAAAGGTTGTGAAATGTTTCAAAGGAACCAAACCATGAGAACTTCCTTATGCCTACCTTTTTAGGATGTTAAGGGTATTCTTTGGTGAGATTGTCTTTATTGGCAACTATCCATTTAAGTTTTAGAATCCTGAAAATGGTTTTGAACAAGATTTTTTTAGGTTCAGTTTCAGCTGAAAAACTGTTATGTAGTTTGGTATATTAAGTTGAATCGGTCTGAGTTTGATCAATTTGGACCGATAAAGGAAGCATTTTCTTTTCAGCACATACATTTGAAACTCCCATGATTTGTCAAATTGTTTCTAATAATATTATAAATAAGTTACCTAAACATAAAATTATAATTGTTTGAAAAATAAATTTGATTCAAAAACACAAAATATATACAAACCGGGTTTCAATAGAAAAAACGTTATGTAGTTTTGTATATTAAGCTGAATCGGTCCGAGTTTGATCAATTTGGACCGATAAATGAAGCATTTTCCTTTCACCACATACATTTGAAACTCTCATGATTATTCAAATTGTTTATAATAATATTATAAGTTACATAATGTTATATAAATATAAAAAAATCTACCTAAACATCAAATTATAATTGTTTGAAAAATCATTTTGATTTAAAAACACGAAATATATACTCGCTTATATTTTATAAATGAATTCATTTTATAATGACATTTTGAATCATGAAAATACATATAAACAAACTTTCTATATTGTGTACCTAACTAAATTTTTGATTTTAGGATTTAACAAAAAGTTATTCAATAAAAACTTAATTTTTTTATAGCAACTTACGAGATTACTGAAAAATAAAACTATTGAACAATAAATTTTCTGGATAACATTTTATTTTTATTATTTAATATTTTATTTAACAAAATGAAATTATTGGCAAATAAAGAAATGAGTTTAATTAAAATGTCTTCATCCCACATTGATCGTGAGAGTAAACAAGAAAATGTATTCTTCTCTATAAATAGGAAAGGTTGTGAAATATTTCAAAGGGACTAAGCCATGAGATCTTCCTTGCATCTAACTTTGTAGGACGTTGAATGTATTCTTTGGTGAGATTGTCTTTGTCGACAAGTGACCAATTAAATTTCAGAATTTCGAAAATGATTTTGGACCGTATTTTTTAGATTTGGATCGAGTTTAATAAATATCCGAGTGTCTTCTGGCTGAGTTAGGCAAACTCGCTTCCATTGGAGGCCGAGTTTAAGTAACATGCCGAGTATTTGGTTGTGTTAGCCAAGTTTTACAACCATGTATGTAATACAATTTAAAGTTTTAACCTTATAAAAGACGTCACTATTATCATATGTTCTACATAATTATGGTAATATTTATGATACAAAACATTTTTTTTACTATTTAAGATAAAAAGTTGTCTCTATTATCATATGTTGTACAAAATGATAAAATTTAAGATAGATAAAAAGATGTCTCTATATTATCGTATTTTCTACATAATGATAATATTTAATATAAATGTTTTAATTTAATATGAAATTATTATTTAATAGATAACAATAACGATTTATTTATTTATATTTTTTTTTCTATTTTAACCATATAACTTTGTATATGCAACACAGCTTCAAGTTCCAACCTTATCTCTTATGATATAGTTCAACATAATAACAATACTAAAAATATTTTTTATATTTTTTATGAAATTATTATTTAATTTTTAATAACAATGATTTAGTTATTTTTAATATAAAATATTTTTTTATATCCCACGCAACGCGTGGGCATTCGCCTAGTGTCTTTATATAGTTTGGATTTTTGTTTTTGTTTAGTGTGATATAAAGAAATAAAGGGACAAACTTTCATTTTATATGTACTCCTGCTACTTGCTAACGAATAAATGCATCACATATAAAGAATTTATATAAAAGTATGTTGTTATTTTGTACATTTAATTTTTGAATTAGTTAAGGTATTTTATAAGTTGTGAAAAATTAATTGAACTAATATTTGATAGGTTATGAAAATAACAAAAAACCAATTGACATTCTGGTTTTCAGAAAAGGAAATGTTTTCTGGTTTGATTTGGTTTGGTTTATATGCATAAAGAAACTAACTTAAATAGCAGAATCAACAAATATTAATAAATAATTGTTTTAAAAATTAAAATAATTATTATGTTCGATTAATAGCTTGATTGTTACGATTTTGTATAGGTATCAACTTAAAAGTTAGTAACATGATTGTTAAGATTTTGTTTTGTATTGGAATCTTAGGATCTCGACTATGATTTTAATATTGATCCTATTTTTTTTAAACGATAAATTTAATCTAATTTTAAACTATTCTTAATTCCACCTTACGTCTATGACGATATTTGAACCTCCGACCTCAATGATAGATGACAACACCCGATACTACTATAAGGCTAGAAGCCATTTGATATCCTATCTCATTTTCGGTCTTTATTTTATCATGAAGTCTTTAATTTTTTTTTTTTTTTTTTTGTAAATCATATAAGTTCAACAATTTCTCTCAAAATTTCAATGCTTAGCCTAAAGCATTCTCCATTGCAAGTTAGGCATTTATTATTTTTCATTTAACTTAAAATCGAGCGTTTACAGGCTGCAAAAATCCTATCAAAATAACTTCATTTATTCATCTCGAGTTAGATATAACATCGTGATACACAAGTTTGAGATCTTGTTTTTTTAGTTGTACATTGTCGTGATGATAATGTTTATTTTTCCACTTAAGATAGTCTCTTTCTAATTATTATAACGGTTTGTATTTACACAAATTATGGTTACTGTTTAAATAGTTAAAGTTGATTCCATCATTGACATCTTAGGAGGTGTTTGGCTATACTTATTAAAAATGTTTTTAACTTTTTTTTTATAACTTATTAATTTATAGCGGTATTAAAACATAGTTTTTAAAAGTAGTTGACTAAGCTTATCTAGTATCAAAACACTATAAGCTTATGTCATTTTTAGTATTTGGCAAAAAAAACTGTTTATATTTGTAAAATTACAAAAAAAATGTCTACCTTTTATATTATGACTTATTTTTGTTATTATAACTAACTGTTATTTTTAAACTAATAATAATTTTTTTTAATGATCTAGAGAAGAAGGGAAGGCAACTAATCGAGTTAAAAGCAGGAAGAAGGAATGCAAGGAGAAGCTCCTTTTTTTTGTGCTCTGTCGACCAAATGGAGAGAAGGGGTGGGCGTTGTTCTCGACCGACCTAAGGGAAGGAGGAGCTGTGATTATTGGCGTGGATTGTCGATCGAAGTCAGAAAAAAAAAATGAACGAGAAGAGGGATATATTCCGAATTCTGTTGCTGTGATACTGGATACGCATCAGATCAATAAGCGTGTGTAATTTGTGTCGCTATATAAGGTTTACTATGTTAAGGGTATATTGGTCAATATCTTTAAATTGTGAAATAAAGAGTTATTGATAAGTAAAGGGTATCTAATTTATCAAAGGTCTCAAACAACTGTAAGCTGTTTTTAAGAAAGTTAACAAATATTATTTTTAACTTATACCGATGTGGAAACGATAATAAGTTTAACTCTATTTTTAAGCATAGCCAAATACCCTCTTAATCAAGATCATGTTCTTATAAATTCTACACAAAAAAAACTTTGTTAGCAAATTTGGTGATTAGTTAATATAGTTGGATATATATTTCAATCTCAATCCAATCTTACTATCACCATATTGCAAAAAGCAAACGATTATAGATATTAGCAATGACAATCTTGGTTAACAGTGTCACATTATACTATTGCCTACCTTATACTATTAATTACGGGAATAGATATTTTGTTTTCATCTTTTGAAAAAGCTCAAAATAAAGGACTTAAATATTAAATAGCATTAGAGAAGGAATTGATGGCGTACCTAATTCTTCTTCATCCACCCTGATAAAGAAAGATTGGCCCCCATCTGAATAACTTCTTGTATCAATCATCTCTCCATACCAAGTGACGCAGCCTCGCCCCCCTCCGCTAATATCAGCAACTGCATACCCCATGCACGTGCAATTCCTCAAGCACAACCCTTTACATGCTTCCAATCCCAAGCTCATGTTCACGCGTGCTGTCGACGTGTCGGGTACCTTCACACGTGCCAACTCCACGAACCCCTCTCCCTCCTTGCACACCTCGGTCCCGACCTTTCTCTTACATCCTCCGGACGCATCTCTGAGGTACCAATCTTGTGGTGACCGAGGCTCATACCCTGGAAGACAATCACACTCGAAAGTTCCGGACTTGTATGGATCACAAAGGCCAAAAGGACCACAATGGCTGTAGCCATCGCACTCGTCTTTTGGAGCCGACCAGAACACAATCCACCGACGATCTGCATCATGCCATGTTGACCTCTCAACTTTCCCAGACTCGTTAAGGACTAATCTTGAGAAAATTGATGAGTTACGTATAAGGTAAACTAGTGCTACCTCATCGTTGTTGTCTGTGTAAGTGACGTTAAACAAGTAGTTCTGTGTCATCTCCGGTACACCGCTCCACCCATGACCCGTCCATGAGCCGCCTCGCCAAACTGCTGTCGTACCTTTGTACAAGAACAACTGAGTTGACCCAGCAGTTTCTATTTTAAACGAATACTCCCCGATGCCAGGGTTCCCACTGGATTTCCAAGACGTAGCCATCCTGTTCATACCCGTTTTCTTATCTATCCCGAATTTCAAACCCGGAAGAATAGTATTTGAAGGATGATCAAAGCTTTGCCATGAATAAACCTGTCTGTTTTGACCTTGAAACAACACCAAATTCCCGGAATCCAACAACTGAGCGGAAACATCATTATTATTCACCACTCCAGAAACGTTGGTCGACCAGAACACAAAAGGCTGAGTACTCTCACGCAAGACGAGGTTTCCTGTTTCATCAAGTGATAGGATACCTGTTGAGTTAGTGATCGGATGATCTCTATTGGCAACCCATACTACCGTTTGCTCCGACACCTTGTTATACCAGATACCCACATACCGGTTGCTGGAATTTCTGGGGCTAAAGAATCCAAGCGCAAAACTTTCTCCACCAGAGACTAATACATCACCATCTTTAACAGGCTGAGTGAGTGTGATGGAGTCGGTAGAAATGCTAATTCGGAAAAAAAGGATCATCAACAATGACTGTAGAATGCTTTTTGCTTGATACATGTTTTCTTTTATGTGATCATCAGATGTTTTTTGTCTCTTTGATGGTTCTAAAGAAACAAAATATTGACAAGTGATATAACAAAGAAAAAAAATTCACTGAGGATAGCTGATTAATATTGGGAGCTGTTTCTGTCTTATTTAGAGTCTTTTTCAGAATTACATGAGAAAGTTGGAGAAAGGGGTCATCTTTTAGGAAAAGTGTTGGGCAAGTTGTTTAAAGTGGTAGTTTAGCATTAAATGGTTTGAATAAGTCTGATACGACCCTGGTTCCGGAAAACCAAGCCCAAGTACTAAATAGCTTTACCCATTCGACCCACAAGGCTTAGGTAGGAAGAAGCCAGCCCGCCAGAAGAGTAGATAACTCGACCAAGTCCGTTTGCAGGGGAAGTTTGGTTTGGAGTATTTAAAAGGTTTTAACTTTTTACTCAATTAAACTAACCTTCACGAAAATGGTTAAAATAATCATATTATATTGCATAATTCGACCCTCAAAATTGTGAAGTTTGAAGATTCTCTAAAACATTACGTCGTGGGTAGCTATCATCACCTCCAATTTTTTTTTTTTAATTATTATTATTATTATTATTATTATTATTATTATTATTATTATTTAGACAAAGTTGCAAAAAATGGTCCCTGTGGTATGCATTTTTTTGGGGTTTTAGTCCAAACCTCGACTTTTTTGGATCGGTGGTCCATATGAGCTGGTTTGCTTGTAGTTTTGGTCCCTCGGAAAACTGAAAAGACTAAAATACCCTTGAGGTATTTCTTTTTCATTTTTCTTTCATTTTTTATCTATTTTTATAATTAAAAATCTAAGAAAACTCTCGATCTCTCTCTCTCTCTCTCTCAAATAAACCACTGAAGACTCAATTTTTTCGATGATCTCCACCCTCGAATAACCCATCATCATCGACGATTCTTCCTTCCAGCTATGGCATATCAATCCAGCCAAAAAGACATCACAGATGATTTTAAAATGCAAAGAATCGGGAACTTTCTCATCCGTGCTTCGAGAAGTGATAGGGTTGGGCTTAATTTGATGTTGAGGGAGCGCATTTCGCCTAATATGCAGGATTATGATAACAGAACTGCTCTTCATCTAGCTGCCAGTGAAGGTCATGATTCGATTGTAGAGCTTCTTCTACACTACAACGTCGATGTTAATCTCGATGATAGATGACACAAAACTGTAAGAATTGGGTTTTCGTTGTTAACTTTTTTAGGGTTTCGAAATTGGATTGTCGATTGGAATTGGATGATAAGATCTAACAACAATTAATGTCTTACAACAGGGGAAGGAAACGAACGGGATGGCGGCAGTGGGGAACCGGGAAAACATCACCGGTGATTCTAGTTCTTCGACAGTGAAGGAGACGAACGTGATGACAGTCATTGAGAGGGATGTGAAGGGGTATCGGGACAGTACAACAGCAATTCTGAGGGTGTTTGACAGCGGGTGCTTGGTGGAAATAGGCGGAGAAGGTTGGGACTGCCTCATTTGAGTTTGTGGACTGTCTCATTTGAGGTTGCATTCTTCTTGTTCTTCCATATGATGAAAATAACTAAGAGGATGAAGATGAAGATGGCTACTGGAAGAAGGGCTAGAAGTAGGTGGTATGCGATACCTTCACCATGCCTCATGTTAGAGACTAAATTAATTAAGAAGCGTTCTAAACTCTTTGTGGTGGATACAGATGAAATATTTTGTTGAATTTTCTTTTGGTTTGACGAGGGAGAGGTAGAAGATGAGAAAAATCAAGTCGAGAGAGAGAGAGAGAGAGAGGTATGTGGGTCTAACCTAATTATTTATTTTCTTTTTCATTTAAATTAAATAGAAAAAACATTAAATATATATCAGAAGGGCATTATAGTCATTTCAATTTTACGAGGGACCAAATTTACGTACAAACATGGCCGAAAGGACCACGAATCCAAAAAGTCAGGGTTTGGACTAAAACCCCAAAAAAATGCATACCACGGGGACCATTTTTGTAATTTTGTCTATTATTTATCCTCACCTTCATCCACTTTAAGGGCTTTTAAAGGCGAGGATATTATCATCCATTATTACCTCTTATTTTATTTATTAAATATATTAAAATGTAATTTAATAATTATATAAAATTAATAAAAACAAAACTATTTCTTATATTAAAAAATACATAAACAAAACACAAGGTGTACGATCACACATTTGTCTTCCCCGCGATCATCTGATTTACCTGAAACATAACCCAAAACTATAAGCCTGAAGCTTAGTGAGTTCCCCCAAAATACCAATCTAACACAAAACCAGCATAATAACAATAAACAACATGCATACAGAGCATTCAGTCTAAGCTAACTGGAACGCCCCACCGGCCTACACTCTACCTGGACTGCTCACAGAACCTTCAGCATGACTGGTACGCCACACCTGGCCTTCAGCCTATCTGGACCGTTCTCCGGGCCTTCGGCTTGACTAGTACGCCCCACTGGCTGTCGGTCTATCTGGGTCGCCCTGGGTCTGTTGGCCTTCAGCACAAAACAGGACCGCCTCAACCCAACCACACATACACCGTGTCGACACACATATATAACAGATACTCATACAATTAATCAGTCAATAACAAGCAGACAGATCTTACAGATCACTAAGCATAGTATCATCTTATCTACCAAGATACAGATCTAACAGATCACTATAATACTCAATCATATGATAATCAAGATAACATTAAAAAGGGTTGTCCTTGGTGCCTTCGACCTATAAGTACAACGAGGAAAACTCACCTCACACTGTTGAATCACACTGAAAGTCTCCGGTTTGCGATCTTGATTTTTGGTGGGAGTTGGGATTCATATCTTCCTTTAGTGGAGTTTTCCTACAAAAACAGTTATCATTCCAGTATCGACATGCAACCTTTTGAGCCGCTTTATGGGAGGAAATATCAGACTCTGGCTTTCCAGGGTATGGTCGGTCAGAGAGTTATGAGGAGAACTGAGATTGTGATCAAGACTACTGAGCTGATTCAATAAGTGTGTGAGATATTACAGACCGTGCATAACCAATAGAAGAGTTATGCAGATCGGCACCAGTCCGATCATGAGTTTCAAGTTAGGGATTTTGTACTTCTGAAGGTGTCACCATGGAAAGGTGTCATCCGATTTTGGAAGCAGTGAATTCGGGCCCCATGTTTATTAGACCATTATGAATGATTGCCTGTGTGGGCAAGTTCGCCTATCGGTTGGATCTACCGGAGGAGCTCAGCCAGATCCACAACACTTTTAATGTCTCTCAGCTGAATTATATGGTGAAACCAATCGCGATTTTGGATAAGAATAAGAAGACTTTACGCAACAAGCTAGTGGGATTGGTCAAGGTGCAATGGCAACACCCAATGTTGTAAAACTCGCCGAGTAGGTCGAGTACTCGGCCTCTTTCCGAGGCGAGTTACAAAATCTGATTGCTCCCCGATCGACCCCTTACTGAAGCGAGTAGTGTTGTAAAACTCGGGAAACTTGGTGATTAATATGTATAATATACTTAATGATTTTCTATTTAACACACACACACACATGTGATTATTACTACATATATATCTTAAATTTTCAGTAAGTATTAATGAAGTGAGACCATTGTGTGTTTTTCAGTTTTTGTGTATTCAAATGTATCAAATTTTGTTATATATTTCAATCATCTTATGATTTTTATTTATGATTTTGACATATATAATTTCCTTAAAAATATTTCTACATGAGTTACCAAATCCGAGTACTCCCCAAGTACTCCTGAGTAGTAGCTACTCGACATTCGGCTGAACAGGTACCGAGTAGCGAGTTCTACAACCTTGGCAGCACCCGAAGGGTTCTAAGTGGACTTGGGAACCTCCTTTTTTTATTTTTGAGCTTATCATCTCCCCTTGAATCACTTTTGGTGCTTATTTATGTGTTTTGAGTGATGGAATCAATAAGTCAAGCTTTATTACTTTCCACTTAATTCAAGGTTGCAGAAATCGCTAATTGGCCGCTAATCGGTGGACTAGCGATTAGGGATTAATCGGCTAGGCTGGGATTAATCGGGAGATTAATCGGGGACCATTAATTATTAAGAAAATTATTCAAAAATTTATTAATCTAACTTTAATCCTCCAAAAAAAGTGATTAATCGGCGATTAGGTCCGATTAAGTTCGATTAGGTCCGATTTTGACCTGCATTGACCAAACCCGATTAGGTCCGATTAAGTCTGATTAGGTCCGATTAGGCCCGATTAGGTCCGATTAATTCCGACTTTGACCTGTATTGACCAAGCCCGGTTATAGTGACCGGTTAGCAATAAATCTCATCGGCGGAGGTCCGATTAGCGATTAATCGTCGATTAATCGGCCGATTAGGCCGATTTCTGCAACACTGCCACTTATACATCTAGGATTTGGTGAAGTTTTGGTGCTTATAATGGAATTTTGGTCCCTTTGAAACTCGTTCTTTGGAGTTTGAAGAACTTCATGTTTGAGTGTAAATATTGACTTTTGGTGGAGTAGAGATTGCATGCAACAACTCTCATTACTCCCTGCATGAAGAAAAATGTGATCTTGGACTTTTTGGAAATTAAGGTTTTTGATCTAGTTGATTTGGCATGTCTTGATGGATATAGTTGGAAACTATATCCATTAAGACATCATATGAGTTTAAATCTGAGAATTGGAAGTCTAGACTTAAGGGTTTAAGTTGAAATAAATTAAATGTTGAACAGTGATAGACGCGTCGCGTCTTTTTCAGGCACCATGGCGCTTTTGGAGATTTCTAATTAGCGTATGCTTTAGCCTTGGAGCCTGAATGTTTTTTCTGTAGTGGGGCGCCTATTTGACCAAATGTTGACTTTTTGACTAAGTATCACCTTAGATTAAAATTTAAGGTTTTAGGTCATAGATTGAGGTTTGACCTTTTATTTAATATGTAGGTGGTTTGTGAGACCAACATTTACATTATTCGCGTGCAGTTATGATTATCCAATTTATCTGTGAGGTGAGTCTCATCGCTATACTATGTAGGATTGTAGGTGTCAGGGTATGCTTGGATGTCTTGGTGACTCTTGCTTGTATTCTTGTATTCTTGTTGGGTTGGGCCCGTTGGTCTAGGCCCGCTTGTATGTTTTATTGGGTTGGACTGTTGGGTTGGGATCGCTTATATGTTTGTTGGGTTGGACCCATTGTGATGGGTCCGTTGTTCTGTGTATATGTGGTATTTTGGAGAACTCGGTACACTTTATGCTTACGGTTTAAAAATTAAATTGTTTTAGGTTGGTCTGATAGAAAGAGTAAGGGCGTGACTTGATTGTATCGCATCCGTTAGAGATTTCCGTACTTTATGAATTTTATGTTTATTACTCTAATATTGGTTTCTTATGGAGTTTCAAACTCGTACATTGGTTATTTATTTATCTTGAATGAAATTGTGATGGTTTTATTGTTATTAAAGATAAAGAAAAATGTTCTATGTTTTGGGACGTAATAGAAATAATAATTTTTTTTATACTAAGTTGATTTAAATGTTGTAATTATTATGAACCATGTGATATATATATATATATATATACAACTTTTAGAATTGCAACATTTTAATATCTATATATGGGTTACATGATAATGTTAATATAATTTCCGATATATATTTTACATTTAGTACCCTATAAAAATTAACAAATAAATATGAAAAGATTGACAATTCAATTTTTATAGCATTAAAATGATAATAGTTTATACCAACAACTTATTTACTTTAATAAATTATGTAGTTGAATAGTTAACATTAAAATTAAAATGTTAAATAAATTTAGTATATTAAAAAATATGTTTAAAATGATTGGAGTTGAATGTATATTTCGAACAGATAAAGACGACATCATCTTTCATAAGATAGTACATGTTTATTGTTATAAATATGTTTTTTTAAATGTTTAAGGCACCGAATTATTAAATTTTTAGGATTTTAATGTTTTAAAGTAATTATAATATTTTAAAGGGCTAATGCCATAAAAGCCCTCAAATTTTCAGAAAATGTTTGGTTATATCCTAAATCCATTTTTATGCCCACAAAAACCGCACATTTGGGCAAATATTATCATAATTGCCCTCTTTTCCGATTTTACCCTTCCGTGGCACATGTTTGGTTATAGGATTGAAGGGTCTTTGGTTTTCTCACTCTTTTTCTTCCATCTCCGGTAAACTAAGGAAGAAAGGGAGGGTTACCACCTCCGTTCCTGCCACTTTTAACAGCCCCTCAACCTCCTTCTTTCTTCATTGATTGCCACCCAAGCACCCCTCGATCTGTTGCTTCCCCTTTTCTTCGCTCCGACAACGGCCAACCATGAACAACGAGGCACGAAGGGCTCACCGGAGACACCTACTTCCACCTTGCTCTGCCACCATCTCTAGCCTGTTACCGCCACCACCAGCTGCCGACTGTAACTCTTCCTCCCTTTGGTTTGTCGCACATCAACAAAACCCCCCACCTACTGTCGTT